CTTAAGGCCCTTAATTATTGTTGTAGTTGTATCAGTGCAATACAACATATATCCTTAGAGCTTGGCTTAACGACTATGTGACACCGGGTGTCCTCTCCATTATCGACCTGATGGCTATGTGAGACCAGGAGATCATACAACAACTTAGTGAGAATTTCACCGAAGCTATTTGACACTAGGTTCGCTCATTAACTAGTGTCTGATAACTATGTCAGACTAGATACTAACATTTTTGTATTCAAATAATATACAACAGAGTCAATGTTGTATTTAAATAATGCAAAACAGTTACAATACAACATATATCCTTAGAGCTTGGCTTAACGACTATGTGACACCGGGTGTCCTCTCCATTATCGACCTGATGGCTATGTGAGACCAGGAGATCATACAACAACTTAGTGAGAATTTCACCGAAGCTATTTGACACCAGGTTCGCTCATTAACTAGTGTCTAATAACTATGTCGGACCAGATACTAACATTTTTGTATTCAAATAATATACAACAGAGTCAATGTTGTATTTAAATAATGCAAAACAATTACAATTAGTGTGGTTAGAGACCCAATAGAGGTGTACTCATGGTGAGGCCCTTAGTAGAGGATTAAGGGAAACATGAGACCCCTACTTCAGTGATAGAATAATTAAACCTATATTAGGTAGCACCTGATTAAGAACATGCATGTATCTACTACTTAGTATCATGTCTTTAGCATATTTATGTTTATGAACTCATAATGATGATCTAAATCAGTGATTATTCTAATGGGCTTTGTAAGCTCAACGTTAAGATGTTTTTCGTTCATAGTTATTAGCTTAACTCTTTTGAGGAGCACCGTCACAATAGGACTTACAACAATCCCTCAGAATACTGTATTGTAGCTTTTGTAACGTCTCAAAATCGGGTCTGGTAGTTCGGGTTGGTTTTGGGTCGATTTCTTGATTTATGATAAAAAGAAAGAAAAATATTAAAATTTTTATTTTTTAATAAATGTTTTGGAAAAGTTTTAAGTGGTTTTATATATTTTATTTTAATTTTGGAAGTTAAATTAATTGGCTTGGTGACTAGATTGAAAGAATTGGAAATTTGTAATTTTAATGATCATTTTATAAATTATCACAATGTCCAAAGTCTATGAAGCAATTTTACCAAGACTTATGTTTAGATTTTTCCCTCCTAAACTTAAAGTATTTTACTTCTCCTTTTTACCACAATTCCATCTAGATTCATTTTAATCCAAATTACATTTTCTTAATTACTTGTTTTCATTCCTCTGTTCTTCATTTTCTCTCATTTTCACAATTTGGTTACTTTTCTTTATTTCCTCCATTTTCTTTCATTTTCTCTCAACCGAGTTGATCAATTCATTTTCTTTTATCTTCTTGATTTCTAAATTCACTCCTCTTAATCTTGTTTTCAATTCTCAAAGATTTTCTTTTCTTCTTTTCATTGTTTTAAGGCTTGATCACAATGGAGTTCTATTGTTGATCTCATTTTCAATCAATTTTCAGTAAGGTAAGGATCTTTTCCTTGGTTTTCTTTCATGATTTGAGGGCAAGTGTTTTTTTTGTTAATGATCTTGGGGAATTATTGATTTAATTGAAAAGATTTTAAAGTTTTCAATTGATTTTCGGAGTTAGTTAATGTGTTGATTTCTTGAGTTGATTTTGAGGTTTTTTTAATTAAATTGATTTTTTTGGAGTGATTTTAATCATATTAAAATAATTTTCAATTTCTATAGATTTGGATATCGATTTCTTGAAAATAACGAGGAATTTTGGTGTTTTTGGAAATATGAGAATTTAGGTTTGTGAAGGTTGATTTGTGCAGTTAATTGGATTATATGTTGATTTTAGTTGTTTATTATCTCTATTGTAAAGGAGAAGTGATGCAAATCAGATCAGAGGTATCAAAGAGTCGATTCAGTATGATTTTTGGTAATTTCGATGTTTTCGCTATGTTTTAGAAACTGAGAATTCTGTTTTATTTTAGAATAGATTGTAATGTGTTATTTTCTTTTCAAGGTCTTTATTGTGTTATTTGTTGGGAAGATTTTTTTATTTGTGTTTGGTTAACGTTTGGGAGAATTTTTGAATTTCGAACAACAAAGTGATTGACTCCTATTTTTAGAAATGGATATGATTCAAGGTTGAGGTTTGTCTAGTTGATGTATTTGATAAATTCTGATAGGTTTATGTGATTTGGATAATATTATTGATGATGATCTGAGTTATGTTTATTTGTATGTGATGACACATATATCGAAAATGTGAATAAGAAATAGGAGTTATGTCGAATTGTATACGATGCCTCATATATTAGAATTGGGGAATATGAAATGTGAATGTGTTATGTTGTGTTGAAAATGATGCATAGGATTTTGAAAGCGATTTATGAAAATCTATTTATATTTTATATATGTGAGTTGATCATGATCACCAATTCCGATATGTGTTTAAAGAGAAAGTGTATAATGTGAATATGTGATTGGACGAGCTAAATTTTCTCACTGTCCATATATGTGGGTGATCATGACAGCTATCTTTAAGTGTGTTTCAAAATGTATTTGAACCAATATGTGAAAACTATGCATCATTGACAACCGCTCTTGGTAAATCGGATTAATTAGCTATTTGTTTTTAATGGGACCTTTGGATATGAAAGGGATGCCTAGGAAAGAGTTGTCTATGTATTTAGTGTGATTTGGGATTATACGGGGTTCGAATGGTATGTTGAGCTTTTCTCTTAGAAGATACAGGGTTAGGTTGGGCGTAGAGCTTTGCTCTATAATTCGTGGTTTTGGACCTATGTGAGTCCGTAAACAAAATGGGAGTTGTATGGAGTCTGTTTATCTAATGAGTGAGTTGTGTTTCGAACAAAAGCCATTAATCTTAAAATGAAAGTATGTGTGTTTTGTGTGTGCCTTGCCAAGGAAGGTAATTGTGCACGAGTGATTGTGAATTCCATGAATTAAGTAATTATGTAGCATTGGCATTGGTATTTCTGGAAATTATGTGCATTTAGAATATGTGATTGATCATTTAAACATGCCATGATGTTACTTGTACGACAAGGTAAGGGTAGATTAAACATAATCATATAGGGCAATGCTTCATCTTAACTATGTATATTACCTTTGAATGATTTCTATTCACTTGGTTTTATTAGCTCACACTTGTTGTTAACACTTTTTAGAGTAATAGAATTGAGAGGAGGCGAGAGGCTTGGCATCAGGAGTGATCAAGCAAGGCAATGGTTCAATGAAGTGTATGTGTTTTCAGAAAGCTAAGTGTTGCAATGTGGGTGACGTTTGGGACTTAGGTATATATGTGGTATTGATGACTTTTAATGTATGGACTAGACTTGTAACACTTGCTTTATACTTGAAGATTGATGATGGTATAATGTGTTGATTTTAGAATGTTATATAAGAACTTGTTTAACTAAAGCATGTGAATACTCAAATGTTGATTTAGGCCTTAAACAAGTGTTTGGAGTGCGTAAGCAAGTATAACTTGATAAACTAAATTTGTTAGGTTCTTAGGTTGCATGGAACGACCTTAAATGCAAAACATGATTAGGTGACTTGTGTTTGAAATGAACTTTTATGCAATTGTTGATTTTTGGTGTCAAATCCTTGATTAATATGTTGACTTGTGTTATAAAGCATGCTATACCTTTGTTTTGACATGTATCAAGTGGTTGAATAGTGTCCAAGCATATTTCTAGTCCATGAATACTTTTAGGTGGGTGATTAGTTGACCAAATATGCATGTTCTTGATAAATCTGCAGTTTTTCAGAAAAAAATATCGATCCCTTAGGAGCAAGAATCGATCCCAAAGTTTATGTTTTGCAAAAAATCGATCACTTTTCAAAAGGATCGACTCCTTTCAAGAAATGATTGATCCATTCTCAATTTGTCTCGATGAAAAAGGTGAAATTACATTCATTAAAGGCCTAAAGTGTTTTTAAATTTTAATTTGGCCCTGAATGATTATATGAATTCAATTTAACCAGAAATTGATATGTTTAATTACTTAAACTCTTAATTTAGAAATTTGATAAGATTTGAGTGATCACTTCTTAAAAACACTTAATTACATAATGAAACCCTTAATTACAAGTTATTATTTGGTACGTATGTTTTGCATATTTACGTTTAGGTCTCTAATCTTGTATGATTGATTGAGTGATTTTCTGTTGTCCGATTGGTATGAAACTTTGTGTGTTACTTCCTTATGGCAGTGTTTAACATGTGGTAACCTTAATTGGGTGATTTGATTTGTTGGTTTATTATATGATATGAAATGAACAAAATACCCCAAATCGTTTAAATGTAACGTTTGCCTGTTTATTTGAGATTCAATTGCATGTTAGTTACATTGAACGTTGTGTGTGATGAATATTAAGAAAAATATTTTTTTTCTAAGAAGTGTGCGTAATATGGATCTTGATCCTTCCAACACGATTGGAACTTATGTACGCTCAGTTATCCAGCTCGGATTCCTGGACCGCGTATGGGTGTTACAACTTTAGTGGGCATATGTATTCATAAAACCTTACTCATGTATTTAGTTTATCGAACTCTTAGTTTGTACTATTTTGATTTTAAATTATTTGTCACGGACCTCCAGTTTATAAATTGTTTTTGGAACTGTCATGTATGCTTATTTTGATACCATATTGTATGCTTTTAAAAAAATGAACAGATTTTGAAAATAAAGGGTTGCCTCAGCGGTCTAATGTGATACTTTAAGCCCATTTAGGTTTAGGGAGTTACAGACATGGCATGTCCATAATATTGTATCTGATGATATGGCTTTTACCACGTCATTGATTTTTCATAAATAAAAAATAAAAAATAATATTTATATTAAATTATTTACAACCAATTAAATAGTAATACGCTTCACTCTCTGATTGGTCAATGTATGAACAATAAAACTTGGCGCTTGGAGGGGGTTTGATCGCAAGTCGCACAAATGGAAAAGTACAGCTCAAGCCACCCGGACAAGTTATTTTCATTGCTTATCCATTGAAAATACAATATTTTAACCTCTTTCAATATCTCCTATTGTTTCCAACATCAAGTTATCCTTTCTTCCCTTTGACAAGGTAACATCGCCCCTCAATTATTATAAAATGTCAACCCATAATTGTACAGACACATACAAAATCACTATCGTCGATGTTACCTTCTTTGGCTGTCTATGCTAATGGGCATTACTTCTCCGCTTCCCAACTTCTGTCGCAACATATTTGCACATCATCCATCTCGTTTCCTACATTTGCATTGAGAGCGGTGAAATTCTCTGGTTTTGGAAGCTAGAGTTTCAATGGTCTAAATAGTCAAATTTAGACTCTTAACAATTATAATGAAATCTTCGATTACAAATCTAATCCATCATCGTAAAATGCCAAGCTACCTTATATTTTCGTTAGTCCTTCTCTAAAGGCAATAACGTCTCAAATCGATTATAATAATAATACCCTACTGCAGGATCGATCCTAGTTAGCCATTTCTATGAGTAATCATCAATTACCAATGGCGATCCTGATTCAAAAGCTTCAAAAAGGATAATTTCAAGGTGATATAATAACAAAATGATTATTGGCAAACAAATAAACACGATCGAAAAAGAAACATAAAGAACAACAAGATTTACGTAGAAAACCTAAAAGGAAAAAAAACCAAGGGTAGTGGAGAATAATTTCACTAATATGAAGGAGGAAAATAAAAGAGGATTATGGAGAAATAAAAGCGTAATATCTAACCATTACCCTTAGTATCTATTTATAGGGATAGATACTTGAATACAAAGAAAAATAATTAAAATAGAAATATACTTTAATGAAGTTATCTACTTTTAATCAAACTAGATTTCTTACTTTCATAAGTTAATATATTAATTAATTAATGCCACTTTTAATTCGAGTCAAACTCTAACAAATCTCCACCTTTATGCAGATTCTTAAGGTGCTAAGGTTTCGAGACAAAACACCCAAATTCGATGAGGCATCTAAAATCATCAAAAATAATTCTTCACTTCAACGAATAAGTTCTCAACCTCTTCCATAACACCCCTTAAAGGGGCAATTTTCAGTAATGGTCACCGACTGAATCCAAGCTTTTTCTAAGCTTGGATTTAGTCGTCACATCTACATGGTTAGCATAAGAGTCAATTTTGCTCACAAATGTATCACCATGAGTAGTGTCATGCACAACATGATCCTGATCAACAATGGTAATTCTATCTTCAAAATTGAACTCTTTTCTACTTTAGATAATTGTTCTACCCACAATTGTCTTGTTCAACAAAAAATCTTGTTTTGCTTAATTTAGTCAGACATTTTTGTCAATACCAACTCTATTTGATAGGGGGAGGAAACATTAGTTGCATTATCTAAAAATGTTGAACTCTGAAAAACATAAAACTTGGTAGTATTTCTCTGCATTTTCATCATAATAATGGAGCCCTTGCAAATTTTCATTACTCCAGCTTCACTGGAGAATTTGTACCCTTTTGAATATAGGGTACCTAAAGAAATTATATTTTTTCTCAAATATGGTTTACGTCTCAAATTACCAAGTGTTCGAACAATCCCATCGAATATCTTAATTTTGATTGTGCCAATACTTGTGGCTTTACAAGGGACATTATTTCTCAAAAAAAATATATCACTTGGAGATACAATTTTATACATCACAAACCAGTTACTATTGAGACTCATATGAAAATTGCTACAATAGTCAAGTATCCACTCATCACTTGTTATAAAGTTGTCATCAGCCGCAACTAGGAGTTCTTCATTATTGCACTCTTCTCTACACTAGCCTTACCAGATTTTCTAGAGTTACTCTTTAACTTCGTTTTTGATTTTATTTTGTAACTTCTAATACTTCATTTTACTATGACGTTTCTTTTTACAAATGTGAAAAGTTTTACTTCGATTGAAAGATTTTGATCTTCCCCTTCCTTTACTACCATAAAAACGCTTGTATTTTCTTCCACGATATGAACTAGTTGATCCATGCATCATAAGACCATTTGCTTGGGGCCTAGATACAAGATGCTTCATCTTGTCAAACGAGAACATGCCATTGTACACTTCTTCAAGAGTGAGTGTTTCACGACTGTACATGATTGTGTCTCTAAAAGATAAGTACGAAATAGGCAACGAACATAGGAGGATCAATCTGTAACGTCCCGAAATATGGGTTAGTAGTTCAGGTTGGTTTTTTGGATATTTGATAAAATATAAATTTTTGGAATTTTTAGGCAATAAATATTTCTAAAATTGTTTAAATGGTTTTTAATTTATTTTTAGGATTTTATAAATGATTTTATAAGGTGACTAAATTATAAAGGATCAAAATATCAAAATCTATGAACTTGTTTTACCAAGTTGGAATATTCACTAATTTTCCTCCATTCTTAACCGTGACCTTCCTATTCTTTCCTATGTAACTACATTGATTCATTCATAAATTCATTTACTTAAATTCACATCCTAAACCATGTATACAGACAATAAACCTAACCTCATGAATATACATTTCTTAATACAAATTACCTTATATAATTGAACCAATCACCTTTAGAATCATAGTTAACGGAACCTGAGGGGATGTATAGATATTCACACGATATTTATTTTATTCTTGTATTCTATAAAAATTGAGAATGACTGACATAATTGGGTCATATATCTGAATACTTAGGGATGCTATAATGTTTAAGCTTTATCAGTATTTCAGAACCTATCCAAAGGCATTCACATAATTTGAGTCAAGAGAGTATTTAAACCATTCTAAAACCTAAGGGTATATTGGCGTTCTAGAGTATGGGGGTATTCTAGTCATTTCCTTCGAACATTCATACGCATCACGATAAATTGGTCTTCATTTGATTGTTTAGGAATCTGAAATTCTAAGACTTTCACTATTTCGGAGGCTAGAAATTGATTCCTAAAATGTTATCAAACATATCTGGAATTTAACTTGTGAATTAGTAGCCTTATTGGGCCAAGCTTGAGTTCCTAAGTTAATTTCAATATTAGGGTAATCCTTGTCATTTTTACACTACAAGGGTATTTTCATAGTTCTATATCCAAGTATTTCTAGCATGAATTCTTTCCACATGAATAATAAAAGTTAAGGATTTCAAGGTTAATTGATTCATTAATTAATCACTAATTTTCGGATTTCCTATTGGTCATCCAATTTCTTGTTCAAGTCATTCAAGTCTTAATTGATTTACTAATATTTTATCTTAATCCGATTGAATTTAAATAATCAACAAATCTATAAAGCATACAAAGGGTAGTGTTGTATTACCTCAAGTTTTGAGCTACACTGATCGACCATCTAAAATCCATTCGATTTCTCTCGCGCTTGAATTCGACATCCCAAAACATCTTGGATACATGGTAAAACGAATTGCATAAAAAATGAAACTTAAATGTGAAATTCAGATCAAATAAACATATACAACGCTAACAAAAACTTACCATGTCAAATTTGGTAAAACATACTCCAAATTTGGACTCAAGACGTTGAAAACCTAAAATATGACTTTTCAGAAAAAGTAACCCTATTCAAAGTCAATGGTCTGCATCAAATTCAACAGTTCGATCAAAGTCAACAATATACTCAAATTCAATGGTTCAGTTAATAGTTCAAATCAGTTCGAGTTGTTTCAGACCGGTTCGAGTAGACTCAGTTCGGTCTGAATTGATTTAAACTAGTTTCTAGATAATTCTCGGCTGATGAGAAACCTTACACACAAGGGTGATATATAAGGAAATAGAAACAATGACAATGGTGTCCTGATTGCACCAGCTAAACCAACTCGTTAAAATCAACTTGAATCATATCTCAAATCCAATCAAAAATCGAAAAAAATAAATCTTGTAATCGAACACTTACCGAATGACGAAGATGAAGCAGTGCTAGTGAAGGATGAACCCAATTGAGTTTTGATTGAAAAAGAATGAGGAATTCAATGGTGAGGGCAATGTGCTCAACAAAGGTCGGAACCTACTAAAAATTGAAGAAATCCGAAGGCATTGTTTCGATTCTGACAAGTTTTCAAAGGCTATTCACGGTAAATAGAGTTAGTTCTCGATGAGAGGGGGTCGAGGTTTGGTAGCAAGGTGACGGTGAAACCTATGATAGTGGCGGTGAATGAAAAAAATATGGGGAAGGGTGGTAAATCGATGAAGAAGGGGCGATGATGAAGCTTCAAACTTTTGGAGATTTTTTAGGGTTTGGCTTGATCAAATGAGAATTGGGGATTTGGAGATTTAAAATATGATCTCAAATGCTTTAAAAGATATTTTTAATAAATTAATCATTAATAATGGCCTGGCCTAGTTGGTTGGTATGGTTAGCCATCCCCTGGTGTCATGGGTTTAAACCACTATAGCCACACCTCTTCATTTTTTTTTCTTTTCTCTACTGACCAGCAATGGGAAAATTTAGAGCTGAGTCCCTGAATTGCTCAAAAGTTTATTGAATAACCTTACATGTATAAAATATAACAATTAGGTTCCTAAATTAATTTAGTTAAATATAATAATAAAAAATAAATTAATAATAATTAAGTTTTTTTTCTTTTCTCTACTGACCAGCAATGGGAAAATTTAGAGCTGAGTCCCTGAATTGCTCAAAAGTTTATTGAATAACCTTACATGTATAAAATATAACAATTAGGTTCCTAAATTAATTTAGTTAAATATAATAATAAAAAATAAATTAATAATAATTAAGGTATGACAACTCTCCCCCTTAAAAGAAAATTTCATCCTCAAAATTTATCTGAATCAAAGAAATGTAAAAACTTAATTTTCATCAATTCTTCAATCTATCAAGTAGCTTTTTCATGAACATGATTCATTCACTGAGCCTTAACCATCAAAATATTTCTCTTCTTTATCATAATTCCTGAATCTTAATAGGATCCTCTTCGAAGAACAAATCGATTCTTAATTTAATTTCCTTAATCAGAATAACATGAATATGGTCAAAACAATACATCTTAAGTTGGTTGTTGTTCTTATTATCTATAACTGAAGCTTTGGGAAGATAACACTTGCTTATGTTCACTGCACCATGTAGACATAACTTTTTCTTTTAAATATAACAAAATCACTTCAACATTTACATTTTCTCTATACACAAGAACATTTTTTCATTTATTCTTATATTGGTCATTTCATTGAGGTACATGATTCAACACTTATCGGATTCCTAACTTATAGAATTTGAATGAGGATGATTCTAGAATTTCTCTAATTTGGTTCATTAGTGCAAAACTTTAGTGGGAAATTAGCTTGTTAAAGCTTGGACTATGTACCTTGTTCTATAAGACTTTCAAAACTAAATTAGGTTTAACTTTAAATCTTGTTAGACTCTATCACACTTCAACACAACACAAAATCAAACATTTATTCACAACCCAAGACAAAGCTCAGTTTCATAGGCATAAACCAACGTGAGTACTTTATCCAAATTCGAATCCAGCATGTCAGTCCAAAACTCTTCAACGATTCACAACACTTACGTTTCTCTTTGATTCATGAAAACTATGATATCCTTGGAAATTAAACCATCAGAATGTAACTTAAACAAATTTCAAATCAAGAGTCGTGTTAGAATTCTCATACATGTAACCCATACGTTACTCGAGAGACGATTTATAGTATATAGATGATTGTCAATGATATTCTTTTCCTTCACAGATTTAGCCTTAACAGACAAAATACTAAGATATACTTATTACATAAGGATGATTTGATAGTAGTGCTCTGGCTTAGAAGAATAAGGTTATAATCTAGATATATGTATTGACTATACACCCTATGAAAAATGATCGACTACTATATTCAAAAGGACTTGACTCACCTAAGCTATGATACCACTGAATGTAACACCCTCAGACCGATAAGGGTGGCTGTATCCGATCCGAGATGTCATGTTAGGGCTACTAAAGTGACCTACAGTCAAAATCCAAGAAAAAAAATACTTTTTTGATAAACTCTTTTAAAATTGTAATTATAAATAAAGATACAAGTTCAAAAAATCATTCATATACTAAAAACATAATTATAATCATACACAATATCATACAAATTTCAAACACAATATAAAAACAAAAGTGACCTACATGCTCCCCGTAATTATACGAGTATTGTACTCTACAAGTAACGCCGAAGGAACTCCTATTTCTGATGTCGATAACTGCACAAGGTCTATTCATTTAGCTTGAAATGATAAGTAACATAATGAGATTTGGAATAGATTAGTAATACAGAACTACAAAAATATTGTAAAGGCCAAACTAATATTTGGTAAAGCATGTAATTTCCTTAGTGATATAGGCATCTACAGGTTTATGAGATGAGCTGAGATTTATTTAATTAATTCTTTCGGTAATAGTTGGGAAATATACAATCTAGAGGAAACATTCAAAGAGATAGATTTAGGTTATTCATTTGGGGTATTTAGTGTGTTCCAAAAAAAATAACAAATAAGTGTGTATATTGTTTTAAAAACGGTAGTAGTTTATTTTAGTAAAATAGATTTTAAGAATCCCAATAATACCCTTAAACGGAACACCGATACAAAACTCCCTAGAATTGCATCTATAAGGAATTACTGTTAGAGTATGCCCAAAGACCGATCATATGATGATTGTAATAACATTTTCTTTACCGATTTCATTGAATAAATTCATTGCCACTATTATTTTCACTTGTATTTCCGTGTCTAATATAAACTAAAAGATAATAAAGTCCATATAATAATATGATTATTATTAAAGATCCTTAGTCAAGTATTATTATGGGCATGGAAAATAATAATACGTTTAAGACTAACATGGAGTTGATTGATAACAACGAGTTGTCATTGACATAGAGGTGTCAAAATTGATACATGAGTATATTGTCAGAGAATAATATATTAGACTGACCCCTATAAGCATGTGTCTTGGATTATTATGTGACGGTCACAACATTGCTTATGGTGATGACTATATGTATGATCCTTAGGCTTGACATCATTACTATCTCAACATATATTGTTGTATGTTTTGATAAAGTTAAACATGCTCCATGACTGGTTGCACTATAAAGACTGATATTCAACATATCATGATATATGTAGTGCGGTATGAATGATGAAGATAACATTTTTCCTTCCTACATAACAGGAAATATATCACTGGCCACTTGATTGAGTGAGACTAGAAAAGCATGGACAAGCTTAAACAAGTTGATATGAGATATCACAAGTTATTCATTTAATTTTAGTCTACTCTAGATATCAAGAAACATTAGATGTGTTATACAAGTTGTCGTAACGGTCCTTCGGGTGGCCTCGGTTCGCGCTTCGAATTGGAATCATGATGGAGTCGCCATATATCATTTTTGAGTTAGGTATTTTGGACACCTACTTACCATTTATTGAGAATGCGTTTACCAGATATTTTTCAGATTCGGGAGTCGTTTATAACCGAGGAAGGATGAGCACCTCGAATTGCCCTTTTGGTAACATTCGATTACCCGTTTGTCTTAATTACAAAAATTAATTAATTTAAATAAAATTTAAAATCAATCCAGATTTATTTACCTTTGACCAAATTCTTCAGGGATAAAAAGGTCTATTTAAAATAAATAATATTGAAATAAAAAGAAATAAAAATAAAAGTAAATAAATCATTCTACAAAATAGAAAAGTAGGTCAATGTATCAATTTAAATATAAATTAAAAGGAAAATAAAATAATTGAGATGAAATAAAAAATTAGGACTAAATTGCATTAAATGAAATTTTAGTTGCCAAATTACAACAGATGACCAGATTGAACTACACTTCAAAACATCACGGGTGCACACACAATTTAACTTTCTTGTAATTACAAATAGTCCCCTTGATAACCATGTCTTTTTACTTAGGTTATTGTTTGTTTTAAAGCCAATGTCATAGCATTTAGTTACATTTTGGTTATGCAGTTGCATTTGGTGTAATGTCTTACTGCTGTATTTATTTGTTGGAAACCGGTGCTGCTAAAGGAAATGTCTTGCTCTTATGGTGTTGTGTAGGTGAGAAAAACTTTAGGAGAAAATGTAGCTACTGTAGCGATTTGGAGAAGGAAAGTTGAAAGAAATACCGTAGCGAAGATTGGACAATAGAATTTAGAGCAGGAAAGATAAAATATCAAATAATCTTTGCCAAGCTGTCCAACCACACGTGACTCACTACCCTTTCTGCAATATTTGAGGCCACCTACGATCCTAACCACCCATTAACATGAGGATGATGACACATAGGGTATAATAAAAATTTAGGGCCCAAAACTTAGAAAAATTCCCTCTATAAATACCTAAGGGTGGCCTACATTTTAAAGAATTTTTGTAAGGTGACCTAAAAGAGAAAGACAACTGTAACCTACCTTTATTTTCCTTCCTTATCATCCCTTTTACATGGTGTCCTCCATAACCAAGCTTCAAAGGGGTAGTATCTAGGCCCTTGAGAAAGCCTGACTTGCTAAGACGGTCCATGACAGTGGAACTAAGTGTCACGACAATAACTCATTGGGAGTGTTCTTCTCCTTTTGCTTTTATTTTCTTATATTATTTGGGCTTTTCTAAACTTGAATGATCTTGGATGAACTTAGCCACACCATGACCTAAATTATTTGGTTTTGAAATTGTTTTTGTTGTTTATATTTTATGTTAATGAATGGTTATATGTCTTTACTGTTTAAATGTTATTTTTCTCATTGTTTTTATTTCATACGTTTATTATTGTAAGAGCTTTTGAGATATTGCCATTTGCTATATCTTAGATGCTTAGTCTTGTAAGAGTTTTTGAGTGATTACCATTTTCTAAGTATAGATACCTAACATCAAGAGAGCTAAGTTATATCTACGTGAACAAGAGAACTAAACTGGAATGGTGAGGTTTTAACCCGTCTTAGAGATAAGGAGAGGGTTTTAAGAGACTAAAAGGGATAAGACTTAGTCAATAGACTAGAGTTATAGTTCACGCTGAGAGCTATTGTCGTAGCATTATTTTGTCAAGTTCCTTGCTAAAGATAGTTTAGGAGCATTTTCAGTAAATCCTGTTGGGTAACAAACTCATAGGAGCAGAAACCACTCTAGGCATAGAATATTCATTGCCCTAGAAAATCCAACCACCCCTAGAGAAACTTGATTATGTGGAGTTGTAAGACTTATCTCATTTTCCAAAGTTCAATTTACTTTTGTTCTACA